TTATAAAAGAGAAAAAAAAATTGGTTAAAAAAAAAATAAAGAACAGACCAAGAACTTACTAAGAACATACCACGAATCGACCACACTTAACCAAGAATAGACAATGATGTTTTTTTTTGGCAAGCTTCGAACCAATCCCGAAGATTGGAGAAACATTTAACTTATGAAAAGAGAAAAAAATTGGTAAAAAAATGAAAAATCCAAGAATAGACTAAGAACAGACCAAGAACTGACTGTTATAAAACATTAAAAAAAATACATCTTTACATATTTTTTAATTTTTTGGGTATTAATACATGACTTTATCAATATATTAATGAAACAATATAATAAATTTAGAAAAAAGTATTTAATTAAACGTGACACGTAAGAAGTAAAAACATAATTCTACATATTATGCAAGACCATCGTGTATAAAATAAAGTTATGTTGTGTTGTGATAGATATAGTTATATAATTTTGTAAAAATTAATAATTATTCAATGTTTTTCTTTTATAAATTAAATGTTTCTCCAATCTTTAAAAAGTACAATGGTTATTAATACCCAAAAAATTAAAAAATATGTAAAAATGTATTTTTTTAATGTTTTATTAGAGTTTGTTCTTGGTCTGTTCTTGGTCTGGTCGGTCGGTTCTTGGTCTGTTTGGTCGGTTCTTGGTCTGTTCTTAGTCTGGTTGATCAGTTATTGGTCTGTTCTTGGTCTGTTCGGTCGGTTAATGGTCTGCTCTTGGTCTGTTCGGTCGGTTCTTAGTCTGTTCTTGGTCTGTTTGGTATGTTCTTGGTCTGGTCGGTTGGTTTTTGGTCTGTTCTTGGACTGTTCGGTCGGTTATTAGTCTGGTTGGTCGGTTCTTGGTCTGTTCTGTCGGTTCTTGGTCTGCTTTGGTAGGTTTTTCCATTTTTTACCAATTCTTTTTTCTCTTTTATAAATTAAATATTTCACCAATCTTCGGGGCTGGTTCGAAGCTTTCCAAAAAAGAAAAACATCATGGTCTAAAAATTTGGACAGTATTTCTCCATAATTATAAGCTTTCCCAAAGCCAAAATAACCTGTTGGATATAATAAGTGTAAAAACATTACAATGCCAATAATAAAAACATTGCAACGCCAATAATAAAAACATTGCAATGCCAATACTATTTTTTTCATGAGTACATCGGTATGTTTTTACATTTCTTTTGATAGTGTCTATATTGCCCACACCTAGCACATCGGTTCTGCTTTCGTGTGAACTCACCTATGCTGGGAATGTGTTTTTGCTTTGACCTACCCCTTTTTGGTACAACTCGTGGTGGTAGAAGGTGAACTTCCTTTACGTCACTCAGAATATCCCATTGCGAAGTATCCGGCATAAGATAGATTGTCTCAGCATACGCGGGAGCCCAAACTTCTGTCCTGTAGTATTTTGAGCATAAATCATAGAGAGATATTCTTGCTTCTCTACAACATGATATTGTATGCTCGCATGGTATTTGCTTAAGGTTGAACACACGACAAGTGCAATTCTTCGCTCCAATGTTGACAATTACAGTAGTCTCTCCACCTGTCACTTGGAACTTAACAGTATTACGTCTTGTGGCCGTTAGAAATTCCGCTTTGTTGTGCCTCTCACGAAGAGTTTTTTCCACACTTGGCATTAATAATGTTTTAGTTTTAGAAGCTTCGACCCGCCTGTTATTAAACCACTCTGATATCTTCGCTTGTATACAATTTAAGAGGGCAATGATAGGGTAATCTCGAACATCTTTGAGCATTGCATTAACTGACTCAGACATGTTTGTGGTCATAATATTATATCGATTTCTTTTATAATGAGCACTAGACCACATTTTAAAATGAACCTGCACTTGTAGGTATCTGGCAATACTTGGGTATCTGGCAATACTTGGATATCTTGTAGACAACTCATCAAACAAGACATAAAACTTATCAATGCGGTAAGTCTTAGCAGTTTTAAAGAACAATGACAGAACACCGCTACATCTGAAATTACTCTTGATGTTTTGCGATACATGCAATGTGCAACAACCGTGATGTGCTAATGTATAAACTGTAGACAATGCATTATTAATACTTTGATTCCTATCAGAAATAAAAATTAATTCATCAGAGTCGGTGATAATTGTCTTCAAGTTCGAGAAGAACCATGTCCAAGATGCATCATTCTCTGAGTCTACAATGGCCCATGCGATGGGGTAACAATAACGTTCACTATCCCGTGCAGTGGCAACTAAAAACGTACCTCTGAATTTTCCCTTCAACCACGTTCTATTAACACCGATAACTTTCCTCATGCAACCAAAACCTCATATACAAGGTCCATATGCTAGGAAAAGATAGATAAAACGGTTATGGTCATCAAAATGAATATTGATGATACTGCCGTGATTAATAAGATACACTATATGAAAGTATGATGTGAGCTTCGTGAAGCTTTCTTCGGCCGTACCTCTTATGAGTTTAAGTGCATGCTCATGAGCCTTCCATCCTTTGTAATAACTAAAGTCCGTCCCGAATTCGTCACGGGCATATTTCTGAATTGATTTGGGAACCAGACCCTGTTTGACGCGTATAAATTAGTTTTTCATGCAACTCCCAATAACGGAGTACATTGCTTGCATGTGCTTCACAAAACGTTTTTTTAACGAGCAAGAGTGAAAACTATTATACTTGGGATTACAAACATGTTCGATAGTCTCAGTTTGCAGGCCTGGATACGCTACACATACTTCGGATCCACACACTCTACTACAAGCACGCCTTTATTTGATTTTGTTGTTTGAAACTCAAACTTCCCCTTTAAAGCTATTAAATGCAGCTTTTCCTTCAAATAATTCTTACTTGTAAAGTTATGACCAACTTTTAAACTAGATCCGTCACTGAAGGTAGATCCATGAGATGATCCAAACCAAGTCTGGTCGATACAACCAAAAGGACTAGTAACTTTTACTTCATTTAAAATGCAAGTGGTTGTGGCTCTAGCTGTGGCTGTGACTATGGTTGTGGTTGCGACTGTGGTCGAACATCATTACGAGTCAAAAACTCATATGTAGCTATAATACCCATAAAATCACGATAAAAAAGCGTCATGCAAATGATTTCTCCTAATTTTGACTCCATCAATATGTTATTCTGGATTAATAAACTTTTCATCCACTATCACGTGTAGCGGTACCTCGTGGGCTTTATCCTTGAAGAATAACAAATTATCATTGTCTTTTATTACAACGGGCAACAATTTATGTTTCAAATTCGGTACCCACGATAACTGCAAGGAATGTTTTTGTCCATCAATTTCACATTTTCTATAAATCTTATTAACGAAGGTTTTGAGAGTATCATTCTCATCCTTATATACGCCAATCAAATTAAAGTTTGTATACCACACCCAACAACTTTCATTCTCCTCCCATTTTCCTCCAATGTCAAAAAAAATCCTCCATTGAGGCATTTTTTAGATTTTAAAACTGCAAAAATTTAATCAAGATAATAATATGTCATTAAACCAAACCAAATATACCACAAACAGACCAAGTACAGACCATATAATAAGAACAGACCAACAACAGACCAAGAACCGACTGTGCAATAAGAACAGACTAAAAATCGACCGTGCAATAAGAACAGACCAAGAACAAACTAAGAATCGACCGTGCAATAAGAACAGACCAAGAATCGACCGTGCAATAAGAACATACCAAGAACAGACTACGAACCGACTATGTAATAAGAACAGACCAAGAACAGACCACGACCGACCATGTAATGAGAACATACCAAGAACAGACCACGAACCGACCGTGTAATGAGAACATACCAAGAACAAACCATGAACCGACTTGTATAAGAACAGACCAAGAACAGACCACGAACCGACCATGTTATAAGAACAGACCAAGAACATACCACGAACCGACCATGTTATAAGAACATACCAAGAACATATCACGAACCGACCATGTTATAAGAACAGACCAAGAACATACCATGTTATAAGAACAGACCAAGAACAGACCAAGAACAGACCAAGAACAAACCTTTTTTTTCTAAACCCAGCAGATCTTCATCATAGCAGACAATGTAAACTAGTATTTTACCATGTAAAATTACTATTTTAATGGATTTTTAACATTTTTAATTACATTCTCATCTTAAAAACATATGAACAACAACGAAAAACACCATAAGAGATATAAAAAAAGAAAGACTTACTTAGTAGCTCTTCTTCAAACTTCGTTTTGGACGAGAAAAAAACGCTGAATGGGCAAGATAATAATGTTAATGAGGTTGTGCGACGATGATGACTTGAGAAGAAGAGAGAAAAAATGGAAGGCGGCTGAGAGAAGAAAATGACACAAAATGGAAGAGGAGGAGGAGAAAGAAACCCTTAAAAACATAATGGATGACGTGGAATAGCTGATATAGAAGTTGACCTATTTACCTAATTTATTTTTTTTGTGATTTATTTACTTAAAAACACTTTTTATTTAGTCTATTTATCCAAACACCCCGTTTTTGCACTATATAAGTTAAAAAACATTCCAATTTCTTTTTTTGTAAGAAAAAAAAGAAAAATCATATTTTAGTAGTTGTGCAACCTTTTTAGTGTGTCGTTATTAGACAAACAACATGTACTTTACAGTCGATTTTTTATGGTAAAATCATGTCTACTCATTTTAATTTATGAAGAAATTAATTCGCAAAGCAAAAAGGGAAAAATGTTGAAGCAATCAACTAAAGAGGAAAACGCCTCAGTGATTTAGGTCCGTTTGGAAGGTATACTTAAATTATGATATTTTTTATGAGAGAAAAATATTATAGTAAAATTAATGATATGAATTTAATTATATAAAATAAATGAGCCTTTAATTACTTCTCAATCTAGAAATTTTTTTTTTTTCATTTTTTTTTTCTGTTTGAGAATTTTTGTCTCCAAATGAAATACTAAAAGATCCTAGTACACAAATAAATCGTTGACTAGATATTAACGCAATTGCGTTTGTTTGTTTTCATTGATGAGGAAAAATTTTGTATACAAGTATGGAGGATTGACTAGTGACTAACTAGCCAAAATCCCCTCGAAGTTAATAAGAAACAAGTTGACGTTTCTTTTTTTTTTTTTTTTTCCCTTTTATTCCATCAACTTGAATAATTAGTACAACAAGGTTCCTCTTGGAAACATTTGTTGGAAAAATACCCCCAGACCCGGATCGAATCTAATTCTGTATTCTTCAACTAATGTTTGCCAAAATGGGGCATCATTTCATCAACAATAATAGTGTTCAGTCTTGCTCGTCCACTTCATGGAAAGGCAACGGTACTGTCTTAACTGCTCTAAAATGGCCTGCGTTATTCAGGTGCTCATTCTCCAACCTGAAACAATTACCATTTCATTATAACCTATGCTTCAATATGTAGTTCTTAAAAATAATAATTAAAAGATTTGTTTCATGAATTCCTATGAACTACGTACCCTATTTTTATCACTCCTCCCGAATTTTAAAAATGGATCATTTCATCTCCAATGATATAAAGTTATTCAAAACAACCACTAAACTAGTGTAATTTTATAAGTGCTCTTAAGCTATTGATTTTATGTCAACTTATCCTATAAAATTTTTAAAAAATCGGGAGGGAGGCAAGTTGAATTAAAATAAATAGTTCTAGTTAGTTGACTTATAATCAATAGTTTTGAGAGTTTTTATAAAATCATTATCAGTGCCATATCATTTTTATGCAAGTATTATAGGCGGATTTTGATGTAAGGGATGTTTTCATTGAGTTTACATAATTCAGAGGTGAAATGAACTCTTTTCAAATTTAAGAGCATGTTAAACTAGGTAAATAATTCAAGGAGAATTTATGAAAATTAGTCCAAAAAAAAAAAAAAACAGTATCACTTTTCTCATGTCATGGACTAAAAAAAAAATGGTCTTGTTTGTTTTACCTGAAAAAGTTCCACAGCCCTCTTCTAATGACTTCAAGGGCTGCTAAAAACAGTCCAGTTACTCTATAATCAACATGTTCAAAAGTTGAGTGAAGAACAGTTTGTAACCAAGCGAGCCTGAGAACTAGGTTTAGTCCCTGCATGACATACAAATGTATAGTTTAAAAAATAGAATAAGTTTTTTTTTTCCGCCTTAAATCCTTTCTGAAATTTTTGCGGAATCTTAGAAAACAATATGTATGTCTGTGTCTCATCTTATCTTCATTGGATTGGACTTGGAATCTTTCCATGTTCTATAATGGCAATATCAGTTTTCTCTTTCAGGAATATGTTCATTTTGCACTTGCTTAGCTATAAAACAGATTTTTTTTTTTAATCCAATTTTATACCCCTCCTTTAAAAGAAAATGTTCACTTACTAATACTTGATGATATTAATATTTATAATTTGGGGCCAATTGTATGTCACTGGCCCATAGACTCTTCTGATGAAGGAAAAAGAGAGAAGGGCCATGAGAGGACTTGAACATAATACCATTGAGATGTAGTAAATGATCTTTCGGCGAAGCATTAATTCATTCCTAAGCCATGGGTTCTTGGAGTTCATTTGGAGCAAACCCCAATCCTTTACAAAGTCCCAATACAATTGGTACATTGTTGCAACACTTGACATGACCACAACAAGACAGAGCCATCCAGCACTCCTCTCCTTCTCATACGCCACTTTGGTCCCCGCGGCTAGCATGGCGGACACATACTTTCCGAGATTCACAAGGTGACTTTTCTGCCCCTCGTCGAACCACCTCCGAGCACACTGCGAAAACCCCAGTTGGAAAAATTCATTTTCATGTCTTGAAAGAGAGATAAGCAAAATATAGTGATTAGTGATTTCTTGTTTTGGGCTAAACCTGCATGGCTCTCCAGTAGTAAGGCAAGAAGGAAACTGCATAGGCAAGATCTCTGTAATGCTTAGCCCTCATGCAATAGCCATAATCCTGAGTCTTGTAGCTTCCAGTTATGTAATAACATGCCACATACTCAAGGTTCCTCAGCATTGGAACCTATTTGATCAAAATAATGAAGTTAATATCACCATTTATAATTAAGAGGATTAAAAATGGCTTATTGGGTTTGTTCACAATATTATGCACTTATTTATGAGTGACTAATCAAAACCTACCTGACTACAAAGTTGATCGGCCATGAAGAAGTCCAACATGACAACCTACAAACATGGAAACAAACAAAACCATTTAGAGAAAAAGATATAATATAAGATTGCAATTAATTGTCTATGAGCCTAAATGGAGTGTAATTACCTTATAGAGAGGTGACAAAATAATGTTTCTTATCACACGAAGAAACCGATAACGGCTTGATTGGTAGAAGACATTGAAGGGGCAAATCAGAAACAGTAAGAAGGCCTGCAGATCATGCATATTGAAGCAAGTTACAATAATGTTTTAACAATGAAAAGTCAAATGTCAAAAGACTAATTCAAAGGTCTATTTAATTACCGATAAAAGAAGACCAGGGATTGCTTGAACTTGGGTATAAGAATACCCTTTTACTAGCAAAAACAAGTGAACAAACATGACGCCAACCACCGCGGTCATTGATGCGGCGCAGATCAAAAATACGTCTCTGTACTTGAGTTCCTTAGTCTGAGTCAGCTCAAAGATGAAGCTATAATTTATACGTGTCTTTCTCCATGCAAAGATGTTGCAACCGTAGAGAAAGAAGTGAAGGAACAATAGGCTGAACATGCTGCAAAAAAAAAAAAAAAAAAAAAAAAAAAAAAAAAAAAAAAAAAAAAAAAAAAAAAAAAGAACAAGAAAAGCTATTTCATCTATCTTTTTTAAGGCATAATTATATATAGTCTTTAGGAACCTTGTTTTGGTATCTGAGAAAACTACTTGCCTAAGAACAGGATATGAAGTTTCCATGTATATCGAAGTCTTCTGTTGTCGTCTATACAGTCCCGTGATATGAGCCATGATGACATATCCAGTGAAGAGGGCAATAAAACATCCAGTGAATAGTCCTGGGGGCGGAGCCAAAAAAAAATTATGTGAGGAGGGACAGATATATAATTTTAAATTTTTAGGTGGTACAAAATAAAAAATTATAACAAAAATGCAAAAGAAAAACGATTTTTCAGGTGGGGCAGCCGCCTACCCTCAAGAAGGTATGGCTCAACCCCTGGTCCTGATTAAGACTCAACCCCTGGTCCTGATTAAGACCAAGTAAATATTTTGCCATTAATTATTGTGACGTAAGTTTTCATAGTAAAAAAATAAAATGTTAAGATAACACAACCCCATTTTTCGAGTACCCAAATTGCCATTTTTTCCCACTTGATATCCAACTATTGATATTAGACTCTATTCATGTCTTGAGGCTAAAGTGGATGATTCTCCATAAGCATTCACAGTCCTTAAAGTGTCTCTTGTCAAAAACATCTTAATTGGTCACTTTTCTCATTTTACTGGCGTCCAAGCAAACAAACCATGTACCACACCAACAGAACATAATAGTGCTTCCCTATAGGCTTTGATGGGCTTTTGTTAAACCTTGTACGACCAAATTTGTCTCAAAGATGGCTATGGAGTAGCATATATGGGACCTTTCTCTATCATCCCACCACCAATAAAAAAGTTAAAATAATAATAATAAAAATAATAATAATAATAATAATAAGGGTAAACCAGACATTTCCTTTAAGTTTCACTCTAGTGGCCTAAGTGGGACCCTTTTTTTTTTCTTATTCTTTTTTTTTTGTTTAATCTTATATTGTCAAAGAAAAGTGATCAAGTATAAAGTTCTCCACTAAAAAAAAACAATAGAGTTATAGTTCAGAAAGACTTGTTTCTTCTTTTTAATTGACATTTTTGTCTGAAAAGTAGTGATCAAGGACTCACCAATGAAGAATGTTACAGAGTGTGATTCTTTGCGCTGATGGGGTTTAAGGTATTTCATGGCCTTTCTTCTGTCTTCCTCAGCAAAGTGCTTGATGAATAGCTCTTCAACTTCATCTCCTAGATTTATTACCTGTCATTTTCTCAGACTAATAATGAGCAAATATTTTGTGGGAAAGTTTTTGAATTTCCAATTTATGACTCAGATAGACAAGCATATCTAGAAGTGATTTTATATGAATCTAAGGACATCCAATATCATACACATGAACTATAGGATCAATGGCCACTTGACATTGTCGGAAAAAGGAAAATAAAAAAATAAAAATAAAAGCTCAGATGAAATGATTTCTGATGGCTAATATCTAAACATGATCCTAAATTTTTGAACAGATATTCAGAACTGTATTTAAAAAATAAAAATAAAAATATTTACATAAATGGTATCTTTGTTAAATTACCTTATCTGAGCTGTTGAAATATGAACTCTCAACTACTTTAAGATAAACGGGAAGAACTTGTTTTCCAGTAACCTGGAAGAAACAAAAGGGATTTTTATTATTATCGTTAATATTATTCTGGCCCATTTTAGTAACATAACACATGCAAAAAACTAATAAAAAAAAATGTTGCATCTAAAAAGTATAAAGCCATCTACTTTGCTTACTTTGTCAAACTTCTTTAAGATCTTTATGAAGGCAAGCATGTTCAAGTGCCTGAAATCGATAATTATCATCACAACAATTCAGTCTCTATCTCCCAGATCAAAACTCAAATGATTTTTCATATACTTTTTTTTTTCTCATTGATATTCATACCTGTAAGTTTTGAGATAACCTAGGCCTTTGTAGAGCTCAACAAAAGCTCCTTTGATCATTTTCTCGGCGCGATGAAGCTTCGCCTTGTTGATGCGTAGCTTGCTGCCGCCTTCAGCAGAATTGCATTTCTTCGAGGACTGGTTGACAAAATCTTCCCAGACTAAGTAACCGATTGCGGAGAAGGTGCGTGACGGCGTTGTGAGAGGAATGTTTATCCCAAAGTTCCTCCCTTGGCAACTGAAAACCCGACCCGACATGGTTCGTAGTTTGCTATCTTCCCTTTTGATTGCCATTGATTTCCTCATCTCATCTGATCTTGGGCTCTCTGAATACGCCACTTCATTTTTCTCCATCTCATCTGTGCTGTTGTCCTGAGGCTGCTCTTCTTCTGTTCTGTCCCCAATGGACTCCTCTGTACTCAAAAGGAAAATAATTTATTATTTATGACAAAAATATTGCACAAAAGATCTCTCATATCTAATTTTCCATAGTTTTCTCTATTTAGCACCTTTTAATATTGATTGAACTACTGTAAGTTCTAACTTTTTTCCCCTTTTATGGCACTATATTACCACATTCAGCAGCTATAAAGTTCTAGAAGAACTAATATTTCAACTTGTTTTTTCAACATTGTATTTTATAAACTTAGGAACTATCTAACAAATAATTGAAATGATATATGTTTTCAGAAAACAACATACATATTCATAAAGATGAAAAAACAGAATTGATGGGAATTTTCTGGACTTTGTGTACATACCACAAGAGAGAGTGCATGATATAGAAGGATCATCCTTGGAATCCTGCGAGGAAGCGCCTTTGTCGCGCTGTTGATTGAATGCGGTCTTGACGTCAATGAGAATCTCCATCTGTTTCTTCAAAGACTCTCCTCTCTCAAGAAACTCTCTCTCTTTATTCTTGTAGAACTGGTTCACCTTGTTGAGCTGGAGGTCTAGGCAGTTGAAGAACTCTTTGGCTGCGTCGGTATCGGCGAATTGCTCCAACAGTTCGGTCTCATACACATCGCCCTTACTTGCTGAGGAGGCTAGTTTCTTATGAACCTGAAGGCCACAAATATTGAAATGAACATAACATAATTAGTTCACAACACAAAACCAAAACAGAACATGGTATATGTGTATAATATATATATATATATATATATAGAGAGAGAGAGAGAGAGAGAGTTTTACATGAATAACTTCATGATGGTCTCTACGTTGAAGACCAAACAAAGAAAACTTCTTGAGAGATGTCAAGAGGGTGTTGGATAAAAAGCTGTTTTGTTGCTTGGTTGATGAGTTGTTGTTGTTGACATTAAGGAGATGGATTTTTTTGAGGTCCTTCTTGAGTTGCCAATAATCAACAAAAGCTTCTTTCCATTCAGGGACTAGTTGTCCTTCAAACTGCTTAGAAAACTTCACCATCTTTTTTTTTTTTCTTTTTCCCTCTCTTTTCTCAAAGGAAAACACACAGGAAAAAAAGTGGAAAAAAGAGAGTATTACAACTACTATTACTTCTACTAGAACTATACTCTAAACAATCTTGTTGTGAAGAGATAGATAAGCTCTTGTGAGTGTGTTCAAGGGAAGACCATGATGAGACAATTTATGGGGATGGAAAAAGGAATTTTTGATTGATGTATATGCCAGTACCGATGCTCGACAGCACATTCTAAAATATCCTTTGCACTTATACCCTCCTATGCTTCCTCCACTTGAACGGGCATATGTATATATACATATATATATATGTATATATATGTATGTATATGGTGGTAATATATATGTGTGTGTGTGTGTATATATAGATAGGTTCCCGGGAAAGTTTCTCACGGCCAAACTGCCACAGGCAATGATGGCTTCTCTCCCAACATGTTCTCATGAGGATTTTGAAAGAGCTCTTTGCTGATTTAAAGTGGATATTGGAAGTGGGACCAAGAAAAAAAAAAACAAGTTCAAAATACTTGAAAGCAATGGCCATTTGGAGTTGCATATAATTTGTCATTTTTATGATAACCCCATTACTTTATTTTATTTCATTTTTGATTTGGTGTTGTTATTTGTGATGTTTTGCTTCCACCTTTTACTAATAATAATACTAATACTAATAATAATAATAATAATAATAATAATCCTTGTTTGCTTCATAAACTAGAATGCAATGCATGAAGGCAAGGGCAATTTTGGGGCTTGGTGATGAGAAATGCCCCATAAGGGAGTCAAGAGCTGCTTATTTGCGGAAGTGAAGCTTATTGGCTGAAGTATTTAGAAGCACACAAATGTCGTATCTAATTAGACCAGCCTGATTTCCACTAATTGTGGATAACTAATAAAGTTTCAATTATTAGGCTTTTTTATTTTTTATTTATGGGGCAATCTCTTTATTGTGGGAATACAAATTAAAACGCAAGAGATAAGATATCATGTTTTTAGGCTTATACAAGCACATGTATAAGCACATCAGCCATCACTTAGGGGTATCATCTAAGTTCATCTCAAGCGTAGCCTATTTGGTGATTCTCAAGATTTGATAATTTTGGTTGGTATGCCATATATAACAAAATTGTACCCTCCAAAACGATATCTAATTTTGGAAAGTCTTATGATTCATTAGACTATTTAATTTGCAAATGTGGCAACTTGACCTGACCCGACCCGATCCGATTAGTCAACATCTTATATTTATGGATCATTGGATAGAATATTTAGTACTTCATCCATATATGCTTTGGCGTGGCTAGTGAAATCAGATTAGGCACAAGATGCCAAGAACTATTCATATGCGGTTTCCATTTTTATAGTACTATATTCTTAAAGAAAAAGCAATGCGTAGATCCTTCAATTTGAATGTACATGAAAGGATAAACAATCACCATTTCATATTTAATTAGAAGTGAAAATAATATTGTTAGGCTGCTAGTAATCCTATCAGATGGGGACGAGGTGGAGGAGGTTCCATGTTCTATTCCTTTGTTCTCATCAACCCACTCCCTCCATCGCCAATTTGTCAACATGAGACTCTTGATCTTGACCAAAACTACAAAAATTCAAAATCCATAAACCCTTGTGGCTCTCTATCTCTCTGTCACATACACATATATGAAATTGTCTTAAGTCCGGTATATGAAATTGTCTTAAGTCCGGTACTTAGAACCAGTCCGACAAGTGTAACCTTTTTCATATGTCTGTGTAATTTTTGTTCGTACGTATATTTAATGTATAGTTTATTTAAGTATAACATTTAATATATGTTGTCTAACACATGTAATATTAAGTACTACACAAATATACGAAAAAAGCTACACAAATGAATGATATTATACCTACATATTAAAAAAAAATATATAGTTTTCCAACTTTGGCAATTTATATGTAATATGTATGCAAACATATTTCTTCCTATACATGGATTATACCATCCACCTTATAATTGTGGGAAATTGACAGCGTGCCTCAGGTGGCTGACTCAAAGATACGCTTTTATTATTTCTTTCTCCGTACCCCTCTCTCTCTCCCTGGTACATATCGTGCCTTTGCTCATGCATATATTCCCTTAACACAGGACCAAATAGTTATTTTACTGTAGTTTAGTGCTATAAAAAATAAATAAAAACGAAAATCCCAAAAGAAGGATTATGTTTTTACAGCTGTAACGTTAATTTTGTAGATATTTTTGGCAGAATAATTTCACAAAAGACAAACTAACTTATTTATTTTCCATACTTTTGTATATATGTAAATCTTCAAAGTGAAAGAAAGATCGATTATGAGAATAATGGTATTAATATTATATGTACGCACCAACTTTTTTTATTTACTAATGAGACTTCATAGGAACTTTTGCTTACTAAATAGATGGGATAACTTTGTTGTCACGTGATATTAAACACTAGTTATAAAATTAACGCGATATTAAACATTAGTTTATGAAATTAACGCGTGTCAAACGATAAACAAAAGTTGGTACACAAAGCCCGTTAATGAGCACAATATTACTCATAAGAAAGCTCCAAGTGATGTATTATTAAATTAAAGCCTATTGGCATGGGAGGAGGGTCGGGAAGGGTTTTGGGTTCGATCCCACTTGTAATCTTTATTTACGTGTTATTAAAAAAGAATTAAAGCCTACCGTGTCTAAGATTGTTTGGTCTAGTCTCTACTGGCATCAAAGGTGTGGATGGGAGCAGAATTTAAGGCTATTGTAGGTTTATGCGGCCCACACTGAAACAACACTTTTTTTTTAGACGACCAGTCAATTGTTGCACCTCAACGCATGTTAAGAAAAACAAGTTAGCTCGAGCATTTGAATGGAATTTCACCCCTAACCACAACTCATTTGTTGATTCTTCAACATCAGTTGATTCAGACTTCTACTTAGTTTCACCCGAGTTTCATCCGACTTGTATCAACAAATAAAAAGAAATAAAATTTAAGCCTAGCGTGGGAGGCAATCTCTATGTGACCTTTCCTATTACAGAAGTAATTTCTAGTCTGTTAAGTATGTTTGGTGGTAAAGTTTGAAAACCAAAAAGAAAAAAAAAAAAAAAAAAAAAAAAAAAAAAAAAAAAAAAAGAACAATATGTACACTAATACATACATATGTTCCACGTAGAATTTCAGTTGAAAGAATGGGGAAGGAAAAAAAAAGTTGCACGCGAGATCTAAGCCTTTAGAAGTAGAGAGCCAATGACAAGAAATAAAAATGATGGTCTGATTAGGATGCCATATTATATGTAGGTGCGCCCTATCAGAGCGACCCAAACCCAACTCAACCTTTTTATTGCCTTTCCCCATTAATTGCATTATCATTTTCTACATGTACTATGTCTTGTTTACAAGAAAGAAACACAACAAACCTAAAAGATTTATAAAAAAAAAAAAAGAAAAAAGAAAAATTGACCCCTAGTAAAATTATTATTTATATATTGACTAAAGAGGATTGTCCGTGGATCAATGTTAGTTATTATGATAGTCAATTTACCATACTTTACTTTTTACATTATTACTTTTTTTTAATACAAGAAAGTAATTTACCAAACGGTTAATATGCGTTTCTTTTAAAAGGAGGTTTGGCTTTACAATAGATATTTCACTTTTCTTCTCTAATTGGCCGGTTTCGTTATATTTTTAACTCCTATAGATATGACTTTTTTTCTTCATTAGTAGTACTACTTTTTGTCAAATAATGTACTCAGAAGAAGTGGAAGTGAATGAGACACATAAATGAAGTACTTTTTTTTTCTGTCGATAATAGATTGTATGGAAATCCTTTGTTTTTTGAATTTGGCCACTAGTTGTGACTTCTGACTAAGTGGACCAATTGAGATTTGGTATATGAGCAGGTTTGAGTGGGAACAATTTATATTTATATTTGCCTTTATTTTTCTTCTGTTAAATATCATCGTAAATATTTGACTCTTTTTGTTCCATGCAATATATATATATATATTGTATGGACAAAAATATCCAAATAATGAACTTGGTCATAAATCATAATATATATTCAAGGAAAATAAAGCAGTTTAATGGTATAAAAAATGTACTATAGAGTTGTCAACTTTAATATGTAGCCCTTCTTCAATGAGGTAAATCATTCAAAACAAAGAAAATGTAGGTGTCATGTACAACCAATTTCATTAAAGCTAAGCTACATATGTGACTTCTCAGTCCTTACTCCATGATATTATATAGATCGTTAAATTCTTAATAAAATGGTGTTAAAGTATCATGATACATATGATATATGAGAAATGCTAACATATGTCTACTATAACTCTCTCTGTCACTCGTCAAACAGTGAATGTAGAGAGTGACAAAAAGAATAACATAAAAAGTAATACTAGCATTACTAATCATGATATATATACATATATAAATATATATATATAAATCATACATGTTCCACCTAATTGCGTGAGTTAGAAAAAAAAAAGTACATATTTCTCATATTTTGTGACTAGCTTCTTTCTTGTAGAAATTAAGAATTAGAAATGGCCGGGAAGTAAATTCAAGAAATTTTGGAAATATTGAACATTTTCCCAAATTTTCATTGTTTTTGCTAGCTAAAATTGACCAACAATTAATTCATAAACGTATTAATGGTGCTTTCGAGACAAGAATTTATGCTGGCGTATCACTTTTCTTTCCTCCCGCACAGTTGACACACACAGAATGTCAAGTAAAATTCTAACTGAGCTCGAGCTATTTGACCATCAAAGCCTAAAGTACAATTATCTTTGATATATTTACCAGTAAATTATGAATACAGAATTTATAAGACGGGGAAAACAATGCTAAAATTATTGTAGAAATAATTGTAGTCCCTAAAGTTTAAAATCAATAATATTACTACTACTACTATTAATAATAATAATAATAATAATAATACTACTACTACTACTACTAATAATAATAATAATAATAATAGTAATATACTTAATAACTTCTAAAAGAAAAAATT